AGAAAGAAATTAATTGGCCAACTGATATATATATAAAAAATTAGCCGGGCATGGTGGCTCATGCCTGTAGTCCCAGCTACTCGGGAGGCTGAGGCAGAAGGATCACTCGAGCCTAGGAGTTTGAGGTTGCTGTGAGCGAGGCTGACGCAGGGCATGCACACTAGCTGAAAAAAGTGAGACTCTGTCTCAAAAAAAAAAAAAAAAAAAGAAACCTAGGTGATAGAAAATTCCAAGGTTGATCATTCTGGCAAAAGTATTACAAGGTCTATGCTGGTGTTTTGTAATTCTCTTGGCCTTTCCTAATGGTTACAAGGTGGCTGTCTCTAGCTCCTGCCATCACATCCTCATAAGCATCCCAAGAAGGATGATTACCATGAGGGTGAAATGCTTTCTTTTCACAAAGTTATGTCTCTTTTATCAGGGGAGTAAAATTTTCCCAGAAGACAAGTTTTTTCTATGTATTTCTTAGGCCAGAAGTTAGTCATATGGCCAACCCTAGCAGGAGGAAAATATCTTCAAAGAGGAACACAAATGCCATGACTGATGTAGACTTGTGATTTATTACAAGGAACTGGGCACATTGTCGCTCCCCCCCCCAAAATTGGTGTTACTTTAACAAGGAAAAAGGAGTGAAATGGCTACTGGATAAGTAAACAAAAGTGTCTGCCATATATCTCTTAGATTGGAGATACTATATTAAATCATTATCATCCTAGATTAAATTAATACAGTGCATTGTTTTCCTTTCTGACAGAGAATGTCTCTGGTAAGGAAATTGGTGATCAAACTGCAACAAATATACTAGAGATATAAAGACTGTTGCAAATTTTAAAATATTTGGCAGCTTTAGGTAAATTCAGGGCCTATGACAAGTTGCTATAAAACAGGGTTCCACAAACATTTTCTGTTAAGAACTAGACAGTAAATATTTTAGACTTTGTAGGACATAAGGTCTCTGTCTTACATACTAACTCTATCTTTGTAGCATGAATCCAGCAACAGGCAATGTGTTAATAAATGGCTATGCATCTGTTTTAATTAAATTTTATTTGGAAGAACAGATGGTGGGCTAGATTTGCCTTCTAGGCCATATTTTTCCAACCCACATTTGTGATAAAACAATGGGCTGCCAAACCATTTATAAAACAGAATGATTAAAAGTGTGCACATGTGTACGTGTGTGTGTATGTGTGTGTAATATTAAACAGAAATGAGAGGTTTCCAAGTCTCTTTGGATATCTATCAATTCATTAATGGTTGCTGAAGTTACAGTAAGTTTTTAGTGTTTGGTTCAATATGTGTATGAGGAAATGACTGAATAAGTTGTTTAAGTTCAAGCATTAGTATTAGTTTTCAACAAACCCAGGTTATCTCAAGGTGCAGCCATGATTGAGAACAAGGATGTTAAAGCAGTGCTTCACAAACTTCAGTGTACATACTCATTACCTGGATAAAATGCAGATTCTGATACTGTAGCACTGGGGTGGAGCTTGAGATTTTGCATTGCTAACAAGCTCTCAGGTGAGGTTGATGCTGCTGGTCCACAGACCACAATTTGAGCAGCAGGATGCTAGCACTGCTTTTCAATGCCTGGAATGCCTAGGTGTTGCTCCAGAAACATGTATTTGGTCTAGGATGTGGCCTGGGCATAGAGAGTCATAAAGGTTCTGCAGGTGATTCTAATGTGCAACAAGGTTTAAAAACTTTTGGGCTAAAGCTGATGATGATTTATTGATTTTAGGTATTTTGTCAGTAGCCTTAATGTAGTTCCTTTTCCGCATTCTCCCCACAACGCCCACCCCCCCATCCCTCTTCTTTTCAGGTTCAAACATCCAGATGAAGGTGGGGGATCAGGGTTAGCACTTCATCCTTTTGCTCTTGTCCATCTCTGAGGAGTGGGAGGAAGTTCAGGATAGAAACAAGGGGCTCAGGCAACCTGGGTTTGGGAAGAATAAACACAAAGTGTTCCAGGGGCAATTTTAAAGGAAAAGTGATTGAGACAGAATTAGGGGGGGGTGGGATTGCCACAGAAAGGTGTCACCACATAACTCACCTCCAGTCTTGGGTGTGAGTGTGGGGCAGTGAACAAAGCAATGCATCCTCCTGAGTCCTGCCAGCACATGATAATCAAAGCAGATTCTAAGGATTTGTCCCTCTCAGTGTTCAGGGTGACAAGGTTGGTAGAAATGCAAGAGAAATCCCAGTGGCAAAGAATATAAATTAAATATTTTCCCCAAAGCATAAAAAACACAAAGGAGCTATAAGTAAGTGGAGGATGGTGATGGTGAAATGATGATAAATGATGGCTAACAAATAAGGTACTTACACTGTGCCAGGCACTGTTTTAAGTGATTTACATACATTAATTGATTTAATCTCAACAGCCCACCAATGAGGTTGGTGCTTTTATTATCTGTATTTTAAATATAAACAAACAGAAGTGCAGAAAAGTTCAGTAACTTGTCCAAATTCAGTCAAGATAAGTAGCTAAACTGGGATTTCAACCTAGGTAATCTGAGGTTAAGAAAGCACTGAGTAAACTGCCTCTTCCAACAGGAAAGTAAGAAAAATTCTCAGCAAACTGATATTCTCAAACACAAACAGATGCTCACCTTGTTCTCCCTCATATCAAGGAGAGAATAGCATACACACACATATCTTAAAAAGTCGTGTGTATGTGTGTGTGTTCTCTCAAAGCAGGTAGAAATGGAAATATAGTGAGAAGACCAAAATAGACTAAGAATAATAAAGGGGCAAAAATACTTTCTAGAAACTTAGCTCAAAGGACCATATCCTCATTTCTAAGAAAGTGTTAAAATACAGTCATAAAATGTAGGAGGTAATTACTACATAGTTAAACTTGTTCATATTTTATTACATGTTCAAAACAACCAGTTAGCTTTAAAGACTCAAGCTACCCATGTAACTTTGAATATTACATTCACAATCTCTAATTTATATCTTTTATATATGTAATGTACATGTAAAAGAGAAGAAACAAAATGTTTTCAGTATTTTTTTCAGAAACATGGACAATCTTAGGGTTTACATACAGATTTCATCTAGTTAAGTAGTTAAGCAATCTCCAACCTTTTTGGCACCAGGGACTGGTTTCATAAAAGACTATTTTTCCATACACAGGGAGCAGGGGGGCAAGCAGGTGGAGCTCAGGCAGTGATGTGATCAATGAGGAATGGCTATAAATACAGATGAAGCTTTGCTTTCTTGCCTGCTGCTCACGTCCTGCCCTGTAGCCTGTTCCTAACAGGCCACAGACTGGTCACGGTCTCTGGCCCAAGGGGTGGGCACCACAGAATTAGAGAATAGACTGAGGAAGAAGGCAGAGTTGTGAATGAGAGAGAACTAAAAAAAACCCACAGACAAACAAGGTTACCATTTCCCAAAGGAATCTTCCTTTTCCTGGGAAACAATTTCTTTCTACTAACAGCCATGAGACAAGATAAAATAACTCTTCTCCACATCTTGAAAGGAGAAAGCAGAGGCCACACTGGCATCAGGACAAGTTGATTTGGGAACACGTGGCGAGTGGACACTGTGGGCCACAGTCTGGGATAAGGTAATGGTAAATACGCGGGGCTAGCAACCTTCTAGGTGTTCAAATACTTCAACGATCCTCTCAACATCAAGTGCCCTGGATTTGGAGCTGACTTTGACATATTCTCTCTGCTGTCTTTCTGGTGAGCTTATCCAGTTACATGACTTCAAAGTCATCTATAGGACAATGTCTCCCATATGTATGTTTCAAAACTGGACATCCCACCTGGGCTCCTGAGGCGAAGAGGCATTGTTCATTTTTCCAGCTACCTGCATGATATTTCAATTTGGATGTCTAATGAGAATCTCATCTTACAACAGGTGAAGTCGATACCCCTCCATCCTAGGTGCCCCCCCCTGCAAAGGTCCCCAGGTTAATAATAGCACCACCATGAAACCTGGTACTCACATCTAAAACGCAGAGTCTAGATTATTTTCCCCATCACACATTTCTCACCTCCTGTCCATGAGCAAATCTTGCTGACTTATCCAAAAACCATCTGGAACTTGTCTACCTCTCCTCATTTCCACAGTCACCATCCCAGTTCAAGCCACACTAGTCTCTCCCCTGGGTAATTCACAGTGGTTCTAATTTGTCTCCACCTTCAACTCCCCTCCACCAACTACCTTCTTCAAAGCAGCCAGTCAGTGGTTTAACATTCAGGAGGAGTTATTCTACTTTATATTCTACACCATAAAGGTGATTTTCAGTCTTGACTTTATCTTTTATAACCCTTCCATTGAGTTAATTTAGGTCTTTTGGTACCACATCACTTTAATGGAAGAAATGGTACAATTCAAGGAAAATACCATAAGTAGAGATGCTGTGAGGGCAATATATATGCATGACAAGAGTGGCCACAAGAGGTCACCCCCATTTCTGCAAGGAAGCCACCCTAAGGTTCAATTCCTGCTATTACTGTGGCCAACGGTGAGCTTGTCAAAGAGTGACATTGCCATGCCATATTCCACAGCCCCTCTCTTGCTACCTAGAATTAACTAATAATATTTCCATATTTTAAAAATAAAAGTTTTATATAAAGTTGAAGGGCCCTTTATTTTAATTTCTAATACCATTCCCTTCACCACTTCTGCAGAGGCAGTCACTGTGATGAATTCAAAACATATACTATGTTTTATACTGTACCATGCACATGCACCAACATATACTAGGACCCCAGACCACCCCCACCTCATCCCACCCCTCTGCACTTCACCCCAACCTGCATGTCCACACAGTTTATACAGGGAAGAATAATTTTGTATTTTCCATGGGCCAATGGAGTACCTTTCCCTTCCATCTGTGGAGAACCTAAGCTGCATGGGGATGGGGTATGTGTGGATGGGTGGAGAGCCCCCTAGATACCTGTTTTAAACCTGCACACAGAGATCTACCCTTATTCCTCAAAGGTGAGAGTTTTGCATACACAAATCAACCAGATACCTTTACTGCTTCAAGAACCAGATAACTTTATTGGAAACAATGGTAACACTGAAAGGAAAAAACTTAAGTGAACGTTCTGAAAGAGCAATATACATGCCAGGCTGATGGCCTGACCCAGGGAAGGCACCCGTGGCTGTGGGGACAGTCCCAGCTCAGTTCTCCTTGTCACGGCCACCTAGGGTGAGCTTGTCAAAGAGGTATTCTGCCAGGCCAGCGTCCCGGGCCCTGATCTTGCGCAGATTGGTGAGGTAGCCACCCAGCTCCTTGATGGTCTTGACCTGCTCGTGAAGGTAGTGGCTCTCCAGGAAGTCGCAGAGCTGCGCGTCGCCCTTGATGGTGGCCAGCCGGTGCAGCTCCAGGAGGCTCTGGTTGACGCTCTTCTCCAGGTGGAAAGCCCACTCCATGGCCTGCAGCCCGCCACCCCAGTCGTCGCGGTCAGGCTTCCTGACGTCGTAAAGGCAGATCCGGCCACCGCGCTGGTTCTGCAGGCCCATCAGCTTCTCCGCGCGCTCCTTCTCCTCATTCGACTGGTGCAGGAAGTAGCGGGAGAAGTGCTTCAGGGCCACGTCGTCGCGGTCGAAGTAGAAGGCCATGGAGAGGTACAGGTAGGAGGTCTGGAGCTCCAGGTTGATGTGGCTGTTGATGGCAGCCTCACAGTCGGGGTGGTAGTTCTGGCGCACTTGGGAGGGCACAGCAGTGGCCATGGTGGGCGGCGGTGCTGTGAATAGGAAAATGTGAAGCTACAAAGGCAGCTCCCAAGCACCGGCTGTAGACTGGAAGCTGTGGCTGGCAGAGGGCAGGGTCCACGCCGGGCGGTGGGTGAATGGCGGTGGGTCTGCCCAGGAGCGGAAGTGGGCCCTAGGGACCGTTGGAGCAGGTGGGGAGTGGGAGTGTAGAGTTCCGTGTGCAACCTGGGTGACTCAGCACTATCTGACCTCTGTTGAATTTTTAATTTTGCAATAATATTTCTAGTATCCAATGACTTCCTCTCCTCTAATTGTTACCCTCTGTGACAGTCTGTTCTCTTTTTATAAGCCTATAATCTTCCTTGATATTCTAAGAATATGAATTTGTAATTTTTAGTAGTTCTCTTCTGTTTCCTGTGTTACGGGTTTTTTCCCCCTAAGGAATTAGTTCTCTTTGTTCCTCATGACCTCCTCTTCACTTTCCTCAAACATCTGGCAAGCCTTCATCCATTTGTGGTTGAAAATCAAGGATACCTTCGGTTACTGGGTAATTAGCATAGATTTGATTTACAGTTATGATGTCCTTCCACTAATAGGCTTCTCCTATGAATGGGAGGATGGAGTGTGTCAATTAGGGAATGGTCTTATCCTTTGGGGATAATGGTTTAGAGCTTTCAGGTAGGATAGGATGTATCCCAAATGTCAAAGGCAAGGCATTTCTCTGGCATTGGAAGCCTTTAGTAGATCTCTCTTCTAGGTAGATATATGTTTTCATGTTATTTCCCTTCTGCTGTGCAGTCCTTCAGTTGCCTGAAACCCTGCTCTAATGTGGGTGCTTTTCCTGGCCAAGCAATTCACTGGCTTTGGAGTATAGCTTTGGAGGATAGAAGAGTGTCAAATGCCAGTAGTGTTTATGCTCAGTGTAAGCAGGGTGGAGGTTGGTCGGTGCAGGGTCAGATCAGGACAGGGGCCAACAGATCTGTTCTCAGAGAACAACTCTTTAATCTCTCAGTTGACTGAAGCCTTTGTGCAGTGCTTCGATTCTGTTGACTCTCTTCTTAAAATTTCCTGCAGTGGGCTTTGATTTTCTGTTGCAGGTGTTCCAGTTTTTCAAAATTAAGCAAACTGATAGTATCTGCTTTTCCTATCTTCTAAGAACTCTTCACAATTTCTGGTCTGGTAATAGTACCCTTTCGTTCGTGTGTGTGTGTGTGTGTGTGTGTGTGTGTGTGTATGTGTGTGTGTGTGTAGATATTTTTTATGTGTTTAGCCACTATGATGATTCAATTGTCATTTAAAAAATATTTCTAAAAGTGCAAATAATTTTCTGAATAGGTAATATATTCACATGGTTCAAAAGCTCAAAAGCCACACAGTTCTCCTCTCTGCAGGCAACCAGTGATTATTTATTATTATCAGGAAGAGAAAGAGGAAGAATATAAATTATAATACTCAAGAGACAGTTTAAAATATGTTTTTTGGTAGCTCATTCTTCTCAAGTACACATGGTATGTTTACCAAGATAGGCCATAACTGAGTTTCGACAAAATTTTAAAAGATTCAAATTATATAATATGAGAAAAGAAGAAAGATCTTGAATCAAAAATCTAACCTTCTGTTCTAAAGGAACTAGAAAAAGAATGAAAAACCAATGACATCTAAGCTAATGGGGAAGTATAATTTTTATTAGTTTATCTCATTTTACTTATTCTTATGCACCTGGATCTTTATAATATAATCTGTCCTTCAGAGTAATAAAAATGGAATTCTGTTGCATTGAAACATTTCAATAACTTTGGATCAAACTACTACTTCCTTATCATCTCCTCTACTTCCTCAGATGTTACTCTCAAGTTATTAATTGAAACTTCATTAGTTTATTTAACTTAAAGATAGCTGCCTTAAAAATGATCTCACTATCAAACAAGTTCAAAATTGTCTAAAAGTTCAGATTGCCACCTCTCAGATAATAACAGGAAATCTTAGCCTACCTCTATACTCCTTCCAAATTTGTCCAATTATATTTCAAGTTCTATTAGGTTTCCTTCTCTTCAAGCTATCCTGCCTTGTGCTCTAAGTGTTTCAGCTACATGGTATGATGCTGATGAATATTAGATTAGGAATCAAAAATGACACATTCCAATTCCTGTGAGAAATCAGGAGTATCATTGGTCTTTTTGGCACTCACAATACTGGTTTAAAGATGGAAAGAATATCACCTGCTTTGTCTATCCCAACAGGTGTCAAGAAATGCTGTTCTGAAGCATTTTAAAGCAGTAGAAAGGAAAGGAAAGCTAAGAGTAGGCACCAGGCACTATTTTTTTCTGTTTCTGTCATACCTGAGCTGGAAAAATAAGGACTGGCATAAGAAGCCTTAAGGTAAGTTGTTTCATTGTAAAGTTCCCGACATAACCGTCATCAATTAAATTAGAAGGGCATTGTGTTCAAAGGAATGAGGAAGACATAGAATTAGAAGATCTGAGACATGGGTCCTATTTTGGGCTTCACTGGTATCTTCTGATGGGAAAATGAACAAACCAATAGCTCCTCGGGGGCTATTTTCTCATTTGTGAAATGAAGAGCTTGACCTATTTGGTTTTCATGCGCCATATGAAAAGATGATTGGAGCCTATTCCATGAGAAGCTTTTTTTAATAATGGAATGGAATTAAAAAAAACAGCCTTTAGCCAATTCATGATGAGCAGTGATTAGTATCAAATATTAGCTTTTGGAATTGGATACTTTCCTAACAATCAAATAATAATAGCATTTTAAGTTATGGCATCAGTGTGACCTCTAAAACATACAATTCAAGAAAAAAACAGAGCCTTCTTTGGATTTACTGGTTGCTGTATGAGCAGCAGGGGATAGATTCCCTCTTTCAGCTTGATGGTACTCAAGATTTTGGCTAACAATATAGGGCTGTAGCAAAGTTCTAAATTCCTTTGCAACTGCTATTAGACTTTGGAAATAGCTAAACTGAATCTTACTTCTATAGTTACTGATATGCCAACTATGAGAGCCATGGTCAGATACCATGCCCTAGGGGGATTGTGCCCTAACACTGGAAGAAAGAACTAGTGATAACCGCCAGTATTAAAGAAACAGTAGCCACCTACTGTAACAGAAATTGATTTCCAGTAGTGGCCTCATCCAGATTAGAATATCAGGGAAGTGGGCAGGAGTAGTGATTGGTTACTGTACTTTATCAAATATACCATGAATTGAAAAGTACACCATTTTCATGTATTAAAAAGAAAAAAAAACTGCTTTCAATTAATCCATGACATGTCATTGCTTATAAACTGCGCCTCAATTTCAGAGAAGTTAAAATGTCATAAATGGAGAGTCAATGAAATATGGTATTTATTGGGTTTTATCATCTACTTGCCTGAATACATTTATCAGAATATCAGAATAGCTACTTTTCATTATTCATAATTGTTTATAATTTTTAGTAATTTATTTATGAATCCAACTAATAAACACTATTATGTACAAAGAAATTATCAAACATGAAAACAACTTGGCATTTTCTGTTAGCTATGGTGTCATTTCACAACGCCTCAGCCTCATCATAGAATGAGTGGCTTTTGCCTCTTCTTTTCCTTTTATGGAGGGAAAGATTTATTGAATTAAACTAAAGTAATTCCTTGGGTACTTTGAATTCATAGCTAACCTCCTCCCAGCATACTATGGTAGGCTAGCAATATCATCTTTCAGATGGAATAACAGGTACCCTAAACATTTACCAAGCAAAGTCGCTGCCCTAGGGTTCTACTCAAATCCCAATTTGAATGTGAGGGTTTTATTTTTATCAATTCCATTGACTGGTTGCAGCTCCCTGTTGGATATGTGAGTTATTTCCTAAACATGACAATACTGCCTGTCAAGCAGTCAAGCATCCCAAAGCAGCAGCATGATGGGCGACAGGGCCACAAGTTATATTAAGTCCATGGTGTAAACGATTCTACAAGTGACAACAAATGGACCCATCAGTCCCACTAGAACCCAGTCTCTGAGGACAGGTCTGAAAAAGATTAACTGGCCTTTGGAGAAGAAACCTCCTGAGGTAACTAACTTCAGATCAAGGTTAACAGACTGCTGACACAGACAGGAGAGCCTCCCACTGAAGGAAGTCTACTACTTTATTAATATCATACAGACTGAAACATTCCTAAGTAAGTTATTACCATAACCTGACATGAATAACAGATTATATTGGATTTATAATCTACAAAAGTACCTAACTCCTAGAGACTAAAGTTCACCACTAATTTAAAAACAACATCAACAACATAACAAAAACTTACTTTAAACAATCATATATGGGACAACATGATATCTACCTGCAGAAGTCAGAGCTTCTTTATCTCTTCAGAAAGTATCTCAGAATACCAACTGCACAAAATGACATACTTTGGTCCTTTTTAACTTCTTCTCAAGAGGTCCCAAAAGAAGTAGTAAGGAAGACTTTGGGAGCCCCAGGAAACCACCCCCATGTGCCTCAAGGGAAACTTCAGATTTGGCTCCTACAGGTGGGTCTGGCATGGGTCTATGGCAGATATAGGAAAGTTTGGATGAAAATGCATGGGATACGGCTAGAAGAGGGCCACAGTGATGCCCCATGTTTGGCCCCTATATTTCTGTGCCCAGACTTAACTTCCACCTCCCTTCCTTCCTGAATTCTATCAACTCTCACAGGTCTTTCATCACCAGGGCTGGGGGCAAGTTTCTGAATCTGACTCGTTATCAGCAAATCATGAAAGGGTAAGTGAAACAAGAGTTTCTTTAACAGTGCCAAAGAATCTGAGTTTCTGCCTGCAAGTACAATGCATAATCTCTGGGATCTAGTGATCAATTCTTAAATACCTCAGACACTGAGTACTTCCTATAATCACTATCCCCACCCACAAGTGTCTGTATGCTACTTCCTGCCATGGGCTTGGAATTCAGAGATTCCCAATGTAGCTTTTGTAACATATCATGGTATGAAAGAGCACTGGATATCTCTTTCTTCCCCCAATAACTTCTACACAAAACACATCTAAATGGCAACACTTTGGAATGACAGGTTAAATTTTCAAAAGGGATTGCTCAAATTTAATAGTGAGTACTTGTATTCACTATTAAATTGGAACTAACCAATCAGCACTCATGTGCACAGATGGAAATAGAACTCAATGGAAATCAAGCAGGTGGGAAAAGGGATGAGAGGATGGGTGAAATCATACCTAATGGGCACAGTGTACACTATCTGAGTCATGGGTACACTTAGAACTTTGACTCAAGCAGTACAAAAGCTATCCATGTAACCAAAACATTTATACAGCTGTAATATTCTGAAATAAAAAAGAAAAAAATTAAGATTGAATAAGATTAAAAATAAAATTTCAAGTGCTAAAAAAGGAGATTGCTGAACTTACATTTCAAATCCTTAAATATAAATAACTCAGTTTCTAAAATGTAGCCACAACTTGTGGGTAGAGTGGCACATGGATTGCACAGGGAATGGGATAAAGACTTGGGATAATGAACCCAGACATGACAGTCTTCTTTAACCCCACAAATACCACCCCCTGAAGAGCCCTTTGAGTAATTCTAAGCAGTTTTAGCTAAACCACTTGCTTTAGAATCTAACAAAGTGTTATCTAAAAAAGCATGTTCCCTTGCCTGATGGAGACTTACAAACCCTGGACTGTGCATTTTTTAAATGAACTTTCTTATTTTGGAATAATTTTAGATTTACATGAAAGTTGCAAAGATAATTCAGGACATTCTTCTGCACATCTCATATTAGGATGGTATCTTTGTTATAATTAATGAACCAACAATGCTCCATTATTATTAACTAAACACAATGCTTTATTTGGATTTTACTAGTTTTCCCATTAAAGTCCTTTTCTTCTGGAATCCAATCCACATTTCATTTACTTATTTTTTATTAATACAAACTACTTTACATATTTACAGGGTACATATGATATTTGTTACATGCACAGAATGTAATGATCAAGACAGGGTATTTGAGGTATCTGTCAACTTTGAGTATTTATCACTTCTATGTGTTAGGAACAATTAAAATCCTTTCTTCTAGCTATTTTGAAATGTACAGTACATTGTCATTACCCATAGTCACTCTACTCTGTTGTCAAACAATAGAATATATACCTTTTATCTAACTCTGTTTGTACCTGTTAACCTACCTCTCTTCATTCCCCCTCCCACCTACT